CCCGACTCAAAGCAACCGCTGTTCTGGTTTCTATACTTATAAGTGGATTTTGACTAGTGCTGCATTGTTGAAAATTTTGGCCATCCACCCCTACTTTTGAGTCAAAACCTAAAGCCCTTCTCAGAGTCAGTCCCCTATGCCTGGTGGGCCCCACCAGACCCTGTCATTAGTATTAATTGATCATTGTAATAGTGATCGTTCTTCCCTTTCTATCACATAGCTGCCTCTCTCCCTGTGGGACATTGGGTGCTCTTCTGTCCTTTCTCTTCCATTCTGGGACCTTAGGAGCCACCCTGAAGTCGTAGCTCCTGGAACTTGGTTTCAGGGTGAGGGCTGTGCCCTCAGCAACCGCAGGGCTGAAATCGCATAGACGTCCTGCTAAGCCATAACTTGGTCACTTATAAAATGGCGTCCCTGACAGTCCCGGCCTCGAGGGATTGTTGTAAGCATGAGCTGTCTTAGCAGAAGGTCTGATGCAGGGAAGTGACCGCTCCAACATCGCCACTCTTTTTTTTTTTTTTTAATTTTTTTTAATGTTTTTATTTTTGAGACAGAGAGAGACCGAGCATGAACGGGGGAGGGGCAGAGAGAGAGGGAGACACAGAATCGGAAGCAGGCTCCAGGCTCCGAGCGGTCAGCCCAGAGCCCGACGCGGGGCTCGAACTCACGGACCTTGAGATCGTGACCTGAGCCAAAGTCGGACGCTTAACCGACTGAGCCACCCAGGCGCCCCCAACATCGCCATTCTTACGATCCTGGTGGTTCCACATAGGTCGTAAGTGCTGGGTGCCCTCTGGCGTGTTATTAACTTCTCTGAGTCTCTGCCTCCTCGTTTTGAAAATCACATCAGGTCATATTTAGTGTGTTTTGGGCTCTACACTCACCAAACCCTTTAAATCTATTGCTTGTGTGTGACCCTTGATTTCAGGGTCGTGAGTTTGAGCCCCGTGTGGGGTGTAGAGATGACTTAAAATCTTTTTTTTTTTTTTAATTTTTGAAGTTTGTTTATTGATTTTTGAGAGGGGCAGAGACGGCGCGAGCAGGGGAGGGACAGAGAAGGAGAGAGGGAATCCCAAGCAGGCTCCATGCTGCCAGGCGCAGAATGAGATGTGGGGCTCGAACTCACGACCTGAGCCAAAACCAAGAGTCGGAGGCTCAACGGACAGAGCCGCCCAGGTGCTCCCCAAATAAAATCTTTTACAAATAAAACTCAGAATAAATAAATGTATGGCTCACCCGATCTTCATTATAGCCTTCTAAGGTAGACCTATTCTCTGTCCCACTTTACAGATGAGGAAACAGAGGCCCAGAGAGGTGCCTTCAACTTTCCCAAGGTCACACAGCTGCCAAGATGCAGTGCTCCAGGCAGGACTAGAATTAGCAGTCTGGCTGTGGAACCCATACCCACGCCTGCTATCCTGCTTTTCCAGAACGTGGTCCCAGGACCCATGCCATGGGGCTGTTGTGAATGACGTGCAGGGGGTCATTTGGGCCAAGCACGTGGCACAGCGCACATGTGGGCTGTTCGGCAGCAGGAGGGCAGAGTGTTTCCTGAGATGGTTTCCAGATGAATATGAGAGGCAGCGGACCCCAGGCGCCCCCGTGTGGAACTTTGCACTATATCCTGTTGCATTAGGGTCACAAGACATCTGGACGATTTGAGGGGTTGACAGTG